CTGAATAAGCACACTTTAGATAGTTTCAAAGGACATCTTCATATAGGGATTCAGGACGTTCGTGTCGATTCTGACATATATGAAGGTTTGATGCCCTGTACTTATGATTATGCAACTAAACATTCAATACTTAAATGGAAATCATCTCCTGTCTTCCAGTTGTTCCTTGGAAAGCTCCTTCTACTAGAGCTTTTACATTTCAAAGTAGCAAGGAACCAGAAGGAAAACAGGTATATCTCACATCCCTTGCCTATTTTCTTACTATGTGATTATTCTCTCGCACTTGTATTGCATCTTTTCATTTTCTTAGGCTGGGTGAAAACCTTCCACTCCTTCCAAGAAAGGTAAGATGGACGCTTCTATTGTAGTTGCCTCAGATGATGATGAATCTCTTGAGGAGATTCTTACAAAGAAAAGAAGAAAATCCATGAAGGCATCTGGACCCACTGGCCCACCTCCCTCGAAGGTAGCCAAAATTCTCGAGACGACACCCATTTCATAACAATATATAAAGGCAATAGATTGTTTTGGTGTAGCTTTTTATTTTCCAATTTTGTCCAATAATTCAAACTATTATTCCATTAACACCCTTTACTAAAATCAACTACTTAGGCGGTTAAAAAACTTCTATCAAAATAATAACTTCTCATTCCCATTTAACCCATTTATTTAAGAATTTATTTAAGAAGAAAGAGAATGAAAGAGAGAAAGAAAAGAAAAATATTCAACTTCTATGTCGTTTAATCTAATTGTAGAAAACATTCATCAAGAACAAAAGAGAAAAGAGAGAAGGAAGTCGAGATAAATGGTGGACATGAGGATATTGATATTTGATATGTTTGTAACAACTTCTCTAATTTTCTCTAATTTAACTTTAATTTTCTTTAATTCTGATTTCTTTTATTTAAAGGTTATCTCATGTAACATGACAAAATTGGGAAAAATACACGGAGTTGGTCAATTGCGTGAAGTTAGAAGAATCTATGTCATTTAATCTAATTGTATAAAACATTCATCAAGAACAAAAGAGAAAAGAGATAAGGAAGTCGAGATAAATGGTGTACATGAGGATATTGATATTTGGTATGTTTGTAACAATTTCTCTAATTTTCTCTAATTTAACTTTAATTTTCTTTAATTCTGATTTCTTTTATTTAAAGGTTATCTCATGTAACATGACAAAATTAGGAAAAATACACGGAGTTGTTCAATTCCGTGAAGTTAGAAGAATTTGGTGTTGTAAGGTTAAATTATATATTTCATCTAAATTCACTGACCATCTAAGTCCTTAATACATTAATAGAAATCACTTTCTTAAAATAACTGTCGTTACCCATTAACACTTATATAAAACTTTGTTTGTTTAATAAATAACTTATGGATTTTTATCTGTATTTCATATTTCAAGTAGTGATTCTCTCAATTTTTTTCTTTCTTTTTTATAATTTGTTTTCTCTTCTCAATTTACAGTTATTTAATAATTTTTAGTTACATTATTTTATAACGTAGATATTGAAGCATCATAAAAAACATTCTCAGAATAAATAAAAAAATTGTGAGAGAAATTATCTATAGAAAAGATAGATGTCATGAATACAAATATCTGATTCTTTAATTTTAAGGAATTTTTCTCTTTTTCTCTCATGAAAATATATAGTTTATATAATAATAATTTAGAGATTCACAAAATACATGTATAAAATTCTATTATTGTTGTTTTCACGATTCTTACTTTTTTATCATCTAATGTTATATATCATTTTACTTTTTTCTAATTTTATTCATGTTATTTTATAAATATTAATAAAATAATTATAACTCAATTTTATTAATCTCAGCTTCCACTAACACTTAAAACACACACGTTCATTTGTCCTTCACATTCGTTGAGCCAAAACATTTATTAATAAATGTAGCCACTAACTCTAACACTCAAAATTATTGAGTAAACTTTTTATTAATTAATTAATAATAAATTAGAAACAAAAACTGGGTAATCCCATAAATTTTTGATACTTACTAAATTAAAATAAAACAAAACCTGCATTGTTGATCACGTTGGTTTTGCTGATGCAATAGCCATATTACAAATTTAAACAGTTGGGTAATAGCCGTATTACAATGTATAATTGCATGTGATAATTTTTCTGGCAATTTACAACGAAATGATAATCAACTATAATCATCTTGCTTACAATTTTTTTTATTACTTAAAATCAATAAAAAAAATTTTAGAAAAAGTTTATGCTTCTTAATATTATTTCTCCAATTATAAACAAATACATTGAGAAAAGTATGAAAATGAGGCATTTATTTTTGTAATAAATACTCTTACACAAAAATATAAAATCACTATTTATATTTTATACACATTAACTTAAAAAAAAGACAATTAAACCTAAATGGCATGAAAATACTATATAAGACATAATTATTTATACATAATAGACATAATTAAAAAAAATATTTTATAATTTTCTGCAGTTATTAGACATAATTATTTAGATATAATTAATGTTGAATTTTATTCCATGTATTTTCTATAACCTTATGTTTTTTATTGTTATTTTTTAAAATGAGAGACATCTTCGTATAAATAAATATACATTTATTTTACTTTTTATTTTATTGATATTTATTTATCATATATTTAATGCAAAATTAAGTTATAAAACACAAACTCATTTCACAAAATTTATTTCATAAAATATTAATCTATAACATCTATATCTTCTTCTATAACATCTATAACAATATATAAAGGCAAAACATCATTTTGGTGTAGCTTTTTTTTCTTCCAAAGCTATCCTTTGCTATTTTGAAAATTGTAACCGCATACCATTTTGTAATTTATCATTTCAATAGCTACTTAAAAGTTGAAAAAAATAATATAATTGCAACTATCTCTCCACAATATTTTCTCCACGGTTACTAATCAAATTTTCATCTATAACAATATATAAAGGCAAAACATCATTTTGGTGTAGCCTTTTTTTTCTTCCAAAGCTATCCTTTGCTATTTTGAAAATAGTAACTGCATACCATTTTGTAATTTATCATTTCAATAGCTACTTAAAAGTTGAAAAAAATATTACATTTTTGTATCTATAGTACACGACACATTAATTTTTGTACTATAGTACACGACACATATCGTATCTATAGTACACGACACATTAATTTTTGTACACGACCCATTCATTTTTGTATTATAATCTTTTTAAATATTACATTTAATTTTATAGATAAAGTAATATAATGGAAAATATTCGTAGTCAAGATTTAAGAGAGCGTCAAAGGGAAATACGAGCACAAAATGCAAGAGATAGAAGACAACGGACGAGTGTTGAGCAAAGACAATAAGAATTAGCTAGAAGGCGTTCAAATTACAGACAAAATAAAGACAAAGGGAAACAAGTTCAAACATATAATACTTCTAATGTGAGAACCATAATGCCATTTCAAGACTTGACGAATGTCAATCTTGCTTCTCGATTGTTTCCGGTGGCACATGACAGTGAAGCTGGACCGAGTAATGCACATGTTAGTCGCATTTCATCCCTGGGTTAGAAACTTTAACTTTTGTTATACATTATACTTTAACACATTAAATTTAAAAAAATATTAATTAATTATGCAAAAATGATTGTCTGGTCTATCAATTCAAAACTAATTTACAGATCAAAATTTTCCATGGCCAATTTTTGAACAAACTGATAACAACGAAGCAAGACCATCTATAGGAAATATTGATGACAATGATTGTGGTAAGTATAATTTTGTCAATAATAATCACATTAATAGTAATACATATTTAGATTTATACATTATTGTTATTTTTAAACTATAACTCTATATTGAAGTTAATACTTTATTTTGTAGAATCACCTTCACAAAATATGAATCCAGCGATTGAAACTCACGAAACACAATCAGTTTTTGATCAAGGTACGATTATGTATTTCTAATCTATAATATATATTGTATGTTTTTATTTAAATTATACTAGCGTCCAGACGGGCACTCGCGTGCCTGTGTGCTCGCTTTTTAAATGCACACGTAAAAGTTTAAATGACATTTTTTATTTAATATTAATTATAAATTTCATGTTAGTAAGCATGTATATAATAAGTATACTTTTTTTAATGGATATTTTAAATGTAATAAAACACAGAATCACGATATGTTTTTCAAGCAAGACATAACATTGCTAGAAATTTTCGAAATACTGTTATGACAATCAAATCCCTACTGCCTCCTTCAAGTGAGTGTAGACGATGCACTGCAAAATTGTTTCATAAAGAATCTCAAGACATGTGTTGCAAGGGTGGAAAGGTGACAATTACACAGGTGCCTGCTCCTGACGAGTTGTTACAGTTATTTTCAGACACTTCTACTGAAGGACGACATTTTAGACAGCATATTAGAAGTTACAACCATGTAATGTCGTTTACTTCACTTGGTGTCCACGTCGACGAAAGTTTGGTTACAACTGGTCGTGGTATTTACACATTTCGTGCTCAAGGCACAATTTATCACAAAATATGAGGTTTTCATCCGAATCAAGGTTCAAGGCCACGCTACTTGCAGCTATACATTTATGATACTGATCATGAGCTTCAAAATAGGATGAGGGAAAACCCAATACTTAACCAAGCCATAGTGTATAAATTGCAAAAAATACTCCATCAATGCAACCCGTTTGTCATCATGTTTAGGCAGCTTGCACTAGAGCCAAATGTTGAAGAATGTAGGTTACTCATTAAAGAACGCCCGTCAAATCAACCACAATATAGTCTCCCTTCAGCTTCTCAAGTTGCAGCAATTGTTATTGGTGGTGGTGATGAAGATACAATAGAATGTGAAAGAGATATAAATGTCATCAGCTGTGATGGAAATCTAACAAAGGTTCAAGAAACAATTGGGTATTATGATCCTTTACAATATCCTATATTATTTGCCGTTCGGAACATACGGTTGAGACATAGAAACAAAAAATAATGTTGGAAAAAAATGTTACATGCCGAGAGTACTACAGTTATGTGCTTCAGGTACATGCTAAACTTTTTTTTAAAGAAATTTACTTCTAAAAGTGTAAAAAAATAGGTCATGATTGATTATTTTTTTTAATGTAGATTCGACATAATGATCAATTTGTATTGTTAAAATCGGGTCGACTTTTACAACAGTATGCTGTAGACAATTATGTAAAGATTGAAACAGGAAGGTTGAGATGGATTCGAAGAAATCAAAATAATATTCGGTCTGAGGTATATCAGGGGTTACAAGATGCATTGCACGATGGGGAGAATAACGCAGGTATTTAATATAACATGTTAGATTTATACATGAAGAGCATCCACTTTATGTTTACCACTATCATTTTTTTATAATTTTCATATATTTCTATAGATAATGTTGGACAAAGGACAATATTACCATCATCATTTATTGGAAGTAAGCGAGACATGACACAAAGATATCAAGATGGTATGGCTATTGTTCTTAATGATGGTAAACCATATATATTCCTTACAATGACATGCAATCCTTCCTGGATTGAGATAACTTCCGAATTAGGAATCCATCAAACTCCACAAGATCGACCTGATTTGCTAACAAGAATTTTTCGATCAAAATTTGAGCAATTGAAGGATGATGTCATTAATAAAGGAGTCTTAGGGAGAGTTAGAAGTTATATGTATGTAAAGGAATTTCAGAAACGTGGACTACCACATGTTCATATGCTACTCATCTTGGATACTGATGACAAGTTACGGGAACCTGAAGAGTATGATAGTGTGGTGAAAGCAGAAATACCACAACATGAGTCTGAGCCAGAATTGTATGAAGCGGTGTTAAAACACATGACCCATGGTCCATGTGGAGTATTGAATCAAAAATCTCCATGTATGAAGAATGGTCATTGTAAAAAAAAAGATACCCAAAAGAATTTTGTGAAGAAACGCGTCAGGGAAATGACTCATACCCGGAATACATAAGAAGGTTTAGTGATCCCATTTTCCTAAATAGAAATAAGTTTATTGATAATAGATGGGTGGTTCCTTATAACCCATGGTTGTTGTTGAAGTATTATTGTCACATCAATGTCGAGATTTGCAGCAATATCAAAAGCATTAAATATTTGTATAAATATGTTTACAAAGGTCCTGATCGAGTTGCAATGGAAGTTCACAGAGGTACGGGTTTGGATGAGATTCAACAATATGTTGATGCAAGATGGATTTGTGCTCCAGAGGCATTGTGGAAAATATTCAAATTCACACTTTACAAGTTATATCCCTCTGTTGAAAGACTACAAATCCACTTGCCAAATCATCATCAAGTGCGGTTTTATAAGCATCAAAGAATCACAGATGTGCTAAATGATAACCAAAATGCAGTAACCATGCTCATTGAATTCTTCGCACTAAACCAAATGGATCCACATGCTACGAATTATTTGTACAGAGAGATTCCAGAGCATTATTGTTGGCTAAAAGGGGTCAAAAAATGGCAGCGAAGACAGAGAAAACGAAAAGTTATTGGTCGAATCTATACAGTATCCTCTTCAGAAGGTGAGAAACCTTACTTACGTGTTTTGTTGTCTCATTTAAGAGGTCCAACAAGCTGGGAATACCTTCTTACACATAATGGTGCATCTTTTTTCACATTTAAAAAATCAGTTGAGGATTGGGGGTTATTAGAGAGTGATAATAGTATTCGTGAATGTTTGTTTGAAGCATCAAATATGCGTATGCCATATGCTTTACGAAGGTTGTTTGTGACTATATTAATTTTTTGTGAACCAACTGATGTTAGAGGCCTATTTAATGAGTTTTATCCCTAAATGGTGGAGGATTATCAAATGACAAATGTTATTGTGGGGGATAACTTTGAAAATATGTTATTGCGGGAATTGAGGGATCTTTTGCTATTGCATGGAAAACTAATAAAAAACTACGATCTTCCAATGTTGACAACGGAAATAAATGAAGTCGGGGGAGTGCCAACAATTATTCAAGAAGAGTTATCGGTCCAAGTTCCAAACGAAGACGTTCAATCTGTTGTGAAGTTAAATAATAACCAGATGAGTGCTTACAATATAATTATAAACGCCATCCACCAAAAACAATGTCGATTTTTTGTTGTTGATGGTCCTGGAGGGACAGGTAAAACTTTCCTTTATCGAACTATAATGGCAAATTTGAGGCGTAATAATGAAATTGTCTTGGCAACAGCTTCCTCTGGTATAGCTGCTACATTATTACCTGGTGGTAGAACTGCACACTCTCGATTTGGGATCCCCATTGATATAGAGCCCCATTCTATTTGCAAAATAGCAAAGAATTCTGACCTAGCAAAACTCATTAGAATAACCCATGCAATCATCTGGGATGAAGCACCCATGATAAATAATAATGTGTAGAAGCATTGGATCGATCACTTCAAGACATCATGAATAACAATGCTCCATTTGGTGGAAAAATAATGATCATGGGCGGAGATTTTCGTCAGGTGCTACCAGTTATTGAAAAAGGAAATAGAGGACAAATGATTTCAGCATGTATTGTTAGGTCTCGATTATGGTCCACCACGAATGTCCTACATTTGCGCCAAAATATGCGATCAATTCATGACCAGGACTTTGCGCAATTTCTAATGAGGATTGGAGATGGTAATGAACCTACTAAAGAGGATGACATGGTCATAATGCCTGCTGAAATTGTAATACCTTGGGAAGGAGAAAGCTCCATACAAAATACATTCCCCCAATTAGAAAACCATGGATGTGATGCTTCATATATGGTGGAGAGAGAGATACTTACTCCAAAAAATTGTGACGTGCATATGTTGAATGACATGATTATTGATAAATTCCCTAGAGATGACTCGAAATATCGTTCTCACAAGGATTCTTGTATTATTTCAACCAACTAAAGAAAATGTTTATGGGGGTTTTAAGTTTTGATTTATAAAATAAGAAATAAGAAAAAAAAGTGATTATCAGATAAACTAAAACGGTTAATCCTACTGATTCGGGTTTCGACTTATCATCGGTTATTATAACATCAATCCCTAAGCGGTACCAATCCTATTCGATTATGATATTAATCAGACAAGCGCTTATCAACATCAAATGAATTATGTTCCTGTTTACCGAATTAAGCAAACGGTTAAGAATATGACGAATTAACGAATTAAGCAAACGATAATACGCAATTAAATTTAGGAACATGCATACAATCGAATTTAACCAATTCTATCCTATGAACAACAATTGAATTAAGCAAACAATTGTAATCAAATTAAGCAGATGACTTCATAGAAAAGGATTGAAAGGAATCAGAGTAAATTGACATAATAATAACCTCAAAGTGTTGAAACCGTACACAGCAGGATTTGCCCGGAGGTATTAGTTCTCCATGAAAACTATAAAACAAAGGAAAAAATTCGGAAAAATAAACTCGGTCCCCGTTTTGCATCACAACAACAACTTTAAATAGAAAATAATTGGGCCAGAAACCTAAACTAGGCCCGCAAGGAAAACTACATTGTCACAAGTCAGAAACTTCAACGAATTATTCGAGACTCAAGAAATCCGAATCAGCTCCTTTGTGAAACATGAAAGTTGTAGATCTCTTTCTTAGCTTTCCAACGACTGGTAGAATGCCTCAAGCCGATTCCTGTAGCTCCAGTTATGAATTTTTCACTAAAAGCTATTAATGCTGAAAAATAACAAACGAAAATTAAATAAAGCTTAAAATAAAATAAATTGTAAAAACATTATAAAATAGGAAATTAAATAAGCTAAATGGTAGAAATGCCTAAGTCTAAACATAGAGGAAGGTACATTAAAATGCACTGATCAAATTCCCCCACACATGAACTTTTGCACTCCGAGCAAAGTATTGTCAAAACTCATGAAACACAAAAACATTCAGCTATTCAATCTAGGCTGTGAACTCGTCTTTGGTCAAGATTGCATTGATAGGTACTACTTTTGCATACTAAGGATATCGTAAGAACACAAATCCGCAATTTTGCGATCATAAGACTCCCTCCTATACAAACCAATCCAAATCATGTCGTTATGCCTAAGTCTAACTTACTCATCCTCCTTTTTGCTCTCTTTCATTCTAGTGCACTCACATTAAGCCCTTTATCTATTCACACGCATGGTAACTAAGCTTGTTAGTGACTGTGTGTCGCTACTGCGAAAATCGGCGCCGGCTGAACAGAAGAGTCGCCACCGCGCGTTATTTATCCCACGGGAGGGAAAGGAAACGCTCAGAGTAAACCTCGCACAACACGGGAAAGGTATGGCCGTCGCAACCAAAACCTGGGTTCGGGAGTCGGTTACGCAAGGGGAAGGTATTAGCACCCCTCACGTCCATCGTACTCGATGGGATCCACGCTTGTTTTCGGGTATGTATTGTTATTCTATCTAAACTATAGGCCAAGGGTGAAAAAGAAAATAAAATGAAAATAAAAATGACTCGGCAAAGTATCGCACTTTATGCCTACGTATTCCCGTCTGGAACGAGAAATCAGAGTCAACGTAGTTCGCCTACCTACGGGAAAGGAGGGGAAGGTTGCTCGCTAGGATATCGCATCCTATGCCTACGTACTTTCATACAGCATGAAAGATCAGAGCAAACGTAGTTCGGGCCACGGAAGACACAAGCTTGTCTTGGTTGATTTTATTCTTTCTGAAAAAAGGTTTTCTGATTAGCGGTCCAAGCGGACAAAAATAACGTTTTGATGAGTTCACATTCTTTTACGAAAGAAGTGTCTTTTATTGTGTTTGAAATCTTTATGTGTTTTTCTGTTTGTTTTGAGAAAGAAAGAGACAGAACTCTAACCTACGGTTGCAAAGGGAAACAAACTAACCTAATGTTATCATTCATGGGTTAAGACCTAGTGTCTATCATGCTCCTCTCTTGCACAGAGAGAAACAGAGATCCTACGGGATAGGCAGAAACAGAAACAATACCAGATATAATAAAGCAGTAAAATGCATGGATGCAACAGTACAAGCGAGGCAAGGGAGTCCCACTCAACCTCGAACCTAGAAAACAATAGGCAAAAGTGAACAGACTTCACTTTCAACCCAGCAGGGTAGACAGCAAACAATACAGTCCAGAAAACCAATCAATACATCAGAAATGAAATACAGCAAAAAGAAACAGCATCAGCAGCTCTGAATCAACATCTGGCTTCAAGTAATCTCCAATCAGCTACAGGCTTCAACAAGCATCAATCTCCATCTTCATGACCTTCAGGCAAGGGCTTTGATCATCAGTCTTCTATCTGCAATGACTTTTCTTCAAGCTCAAACCTCCAGGATGAGGGATTAGTCACAAGAGTGAATTGGGTGTTAAGCAATCAGTTGACTACCAAGGGTGGTGAACAGACTGCTTCTAACACAAGAGACATTTTCTCTCAAGAGTTCTATCTCATAGACACTATCACCAAGCCTTCCAAAGGAAGGGGGTGAGTGTCTTAGAGAGACTCTGAATCACAGAGAAGAATGGATGCAGACAAGGCAATCCATGTTTGAGAAACAAACTTTCTAACCTAGAGCTCTGCCTAGCTCCTAAACCCTAGTTCCTCAGCATCTGCTAGCAAGAATCTTCTCTTCAACTCTGGAAGTTGAACTTCAATCTCTGGATCTCCAGTGGCCTTCATCTTCTCAAGTCTTCAGCTCTCCTAAGTCCCCAGACAACCCCAATACCCAAGCAAGCAAGCAGTAATCCCCAGAGGGCACACCACACCAGTCAATCAGACATACACAGAGTATTAATAGCAGTAGGGGAGTCCTGACTTTTTCTCTAAGGGATCTAATAACTACCCATAGCCCCTATAGTCCCATAACTAATCTAGTTAAACCCTAAGTCCTAAGGGAAAGAATCAAACCTCCTAAGTCATCACCTAAAAAACCCTAATTTTATCCATGTTGTTCACACCTACACTAAGCCCCTAAATTTAATTTCTAAAAAAAGGAACTAAATTGTATCTACAAGTTTAATGTCTAAACTAAACAACCTAAAAAGAATGGACAAAAAATATTAAAGCATCTAGTAGAATAAAAATTAACAAAATCATGCATGAAATGAAACTTTTTAAAATGCTATTTATTTGGAAAATATGGGAAAAATATCAAATAAAAAATAAAATGCAATTTTTATTTTTTATAATTTTCTAGACATGTTAAGGAAAATATTAAAAAAAGAATGAGTTAAAAATGATATTTTTTCATTTAGTTATGATTTTTAGAAGATTAATGAAATATGAAGAAAATTAAAAAATAAAAAATAAAAAATAAAAAAATACAAGAGAAGGAGGGAGGGGGTACTAATAGCAGATGCGCTCAGTTATGTTTTGGATGGGCCAGAAGGGTGGGGTGCGCGTAGCACTTTCTTACTAAGCCCAGCTTGAGTCTGAATTAATAAAAAACGAAAAAACCATCAAGGAGGTGGGAGGTGTATTCAGTATGTAATTCATGTTCAAAAACCACTTGGGCTCAGGTGTGGGCGGTATGAATAGAATTCTGACTAAGCCCATGGTTCAGTTAAAATTAATTAAAAAAAATAAAAAACAAAGAAGCAAGCGCAGGGGGTGTGGGAAGAAATGAATTCACGTGCAATTCACAATGGGCTCAGTACTGGGGGGTGGGGATATCATTAAAACACCTAGGCCCGCCCGTTTCATTAAATGAAACGGTGCGTTTAGGGCACCTCTCTCAACTCCCTCCAAAACTCAGAATTGAACTCCAGCCACACGATTGGCTCTTTGGTCCATGGTCCAACACGCAATGGACGATCATGATTATATCTTCTACCTTGGCTCGTGAGAACTTAGGGTTTCCGCCATGAAAACACATGCACGTACCAACCTTCCATCAATCTGTTCTCTCTCCATAGTGCACGAAACATCACGATCCAAACATGAAAATCACTCCAAATCTTTCCCTCTACAAGCCTATGATCATAGTTTGCACTGAAACTCAGTAAATCACTCAACCCGAGCGCATGACGTTCTTGGTTCCATTAAAATACTCTGCAACTCATCCTCAAGATTCTTAACCAAACCTATACTACTTTAAACTACACTTCACGTGGATTATTCTGCACTAACAACCTAAGATTATCATGGCCTATCCTAAGAGTTCTAAGTCAAACCAGTTCTAACAACCTGCTATGAACTATCACTAAACTACTCCTAATTAACCAGAAATGTTCTACTAACATCCTACATCATTATTATACTAACAAACTAATGTAAATCTATCTATATCAAGCAAGTGGAAGTAATTTGCACCTGGAGCAAAATCTTGTGGATGATGATGAAATTCGTGGATCTGAGAGCCTTGATGCTTGGATCTGGATCTACTCTTGCTATATTTGATTCTGTATGCAGCACCTT